CTATATATAAATATCTGTCATATATAATATAAACATTACAGTCTAATATTATATAAACCTCATCTATAATATAAATACCTGTCATATATAATATAAACATTACAGTCTAATATTATATAAACCTCATCTATAATATAAATACCTTTGCCTATAAAACAAACATTTCTGATCAGTGTATAATATAACACCTTTGTTTACAAACTACAAACACTTCAATTTATTAAACACCTCATTCTATACAACAAAACACCGTTAATAAGTCTACTGGTTATTACGAAAGTAAAAAGTGTCTACCTGTATTTCCTCCAGCAGTTCAGCTAATTCCTGGTTCTTCTTCCGCATTTTATCCTGGTACTCAAACCCGGCACCTTTCATTTGCATTTCTCTCTCCTGCCAGGCGTTCATCTGCGATCGCAACTCCCGATTTTCTTGCTGCAACATATCAGTCTGAAACGAAAATTTCCAATTTTTATCATACATGCAAAATTACTCTGTATTTGTTAAGGATAATTAGAACAGGTGAATGTGAAAAATCATTCAGGCAGTATTTAGAACAGTAGTTTTACTTATTTATTTGTATCAAGATTTGTCCGAATAATATACAAGACTGTGTAAATACTACTGTATTACTTTTTACCATTTGCATGCCATAACTTTTTGGTAAAATTTCGGTGCAATTTTTTATCTATTTTTATATATTTTTCAATAATTTGTTTGATAATTTCAGTACGAATGATCTAATTTTCTATTAGTTACACTTCTTAACTTTAAGTGTCTGATATTTTTCCCCCTAAAATTCAGACCAAATATTTTTACATTTTGTAAAATTGTCACTAAATTTCTTCATTATTTTGGTTCATACAGACAGTTTTAGATATTGCTTTTAGTTTTTGATCAAAAGGTTTGTCATTTTTTATCAAAATTTTATGTGGGCAAGACTATACAAAATCAGATGTCAATGGTGCCAAAAGTTGACAATGACACTCAAAAAGTTCATCAAACTTTTAGAAAAAATTGAAAAATAATGGGGGTTTTATTTTGTGTGAGGTGATAAAAGTTGACATTGTTGTTCAAAAGGTGAAAGGGCAAAAAGGCTGTATTAAAACCAAATATATTTGTATCACAACTGATGCACAAACTCACCTCTTTTCGCAGGTCCCGCTTTTCCCGTTCAGAATCCTCTGCTCGTGTTGCATACTGTGAAAACAAAAAATAAGACAATAAAAATCGAGACTTGAACTTGAAGAAGACGTTTAACCAACCAACCACCCATGCACTAGTTCTTAAGTGCAAACGAGTGATCTCAAAAAGGTGAAAGGTTAATGACAGTCTGAAATGCAAGAAACCAGTCCACTTTTTGAATCGCTTCAACAAAAGGCATCGCAAGTACGGTAGATTACTGACAAAATATCGTTGATTTCAATATTGTTATTAGATCAAAGCTTGTTGTTCACTTTAGATACAACAAAGAATTATTTATAGATATACTGTATTAATCCCAGTGCGCCTTACCCGTTCGCATTCTTTCTTCTCGAGCGCTAGTTCTTTATCACGTTCGTTCACTTCTCGTTGTAATAAATCCAACTGTCTTTCCAAGTCTCTGACTTGTTCCTGGAGAAATCTCACATCTTTGGGTTGACCACTCTGGAAGGATAATTGAAATAAGTAAAACCAATTAATTATTCATCATTATTACACTTTGAACACCAAAAACAATACAATTTGACATTCTCTGAAAAGCCATAAGAGCACTCATCTCAAAACGTATCAGCATCTGTTCAAATTTTCCCATATATGGCATACACTATGCAGGGGGTTTTCTAGAAAAAACTGCAAGAGGAAGAACTGCAATTCAGCGGGGCCACCAAGTGGGGGGGGGGGGGTACTAGTAGGGTTCTCCCTACCAGGGTGATAGTTCTAAGTTGAAATGGAGCATTCTATGGCTTCCTTGGGGCCAAAATTACTATCAGGCAGGTCAAAGTTGAAGGCTGTGGCCACATGTGTTTTATGGTTGCCAGAGGATCTTCTCCCCAGGGTAAAGGGGTGCATGGCCATGGCATGAGGGCGCTGTGCCCTGTTCCCTTGTTTAAAAAAATTACTTCTATGGCACCAATATTTCCTTTGATTAAATTGGGTGCAGATGAGCTATAGAGGGCAGGGCAGTAGAAAAGGATCCTGTTACTGAACGCAAACGTGCATATTTTATTGCCATTTCGGGCTATATTCTCTCATATGTATAAATATATGGTTATAACGAGAATACTGCAACATATGCACCCAGGCAGTACAGGGTCACATCGACTGCCACTACACATTGGTTGAGTTATCGCCTTTGTGTATAATTTGCAGGATTCTCATGATAAATGATTATAAATGCCCTCACCACTAACAAACATTTCCAAACATGGTTGTCAGTGACATTAGCCTTTGGCTAGGTATTTCAAACTGACTTTAAATAAACGAATTGAATTGAATTGAAACAATTCCAATGCCTAGCATTATCATTTCATGCGAGATAAAAACTGAACTCTCAATTTTTTTTTAACTGACTTCTGGTATAAGATGTTATAAATTTGCATAGCATGCATTAGCATAAAATGGTATTAGAAACTGATATATAGATGTCATAATATCATCTTCGCAAGCCAAGGTCAGTCTTTTTGACCATAGCCTCACTACTATACAATAGTGAAATCTATACAGAGAGTGTGTATTTGAGTGAGCTACCTAAGACAGTTTAACATTTTGTTATCATTTTGTTTTATTTTTGTCACCATTTGTCCCGCCAACACTGATTTTGCACATACATAGAGGCAAGTTCAATCAGATTAACGTATTTCACCAAGTTCAAATATGCGTTCTCTTGGGTTTGTTGGTTTGATGTTTACATCAAGCTTGCAAAACCGTGTGACATTGATCATTACCTGGACTCGCATTCTTGCAACCTGGTCTTCTAACTCCAAGATTCGATCTTTCTGTTTCTGGTCTGCAAAAATTTTTTTTTTAAAAAGTTAAAAAAAAAAAAGATAATTATATTAAACATATTCTGCACTACTGTGACAAGAAAATATTGATGTTCATAGCGTATTTTTATAATGGCTACTTTTATGACAAATTGGCAACTGATTTTAAAATCACAAATTAAGTTGGAAATTGATAAAAATCAATCAATCAATACCGCTTCTCATCAGTTTTGCGAGTTCTTCTTCAGTGATGTCAGCTTGGGTTCCTTTGATCTTCATAACCGATCTTGTCACTTCGAATAATTGAAACAGTCTATCTGCATCCGCTTCCTCTTCTACATTTGCCTGGAAACATAAATTATATAAAACATGACTGAAATTGTGATGAAAATATTTGACTATTTAGAAGGTCATCGAGATATTCAGACGAGCCATCTGGGCAATCAACTATATGGCCTGCATGATCAGCCAAATTTTGGATGGGTAGGTACATTATTTCACTAGATATTGATAATTTTGACTAGTCCCACACTTTTGTTGCTAAAATATACAGTTAGAGGCATGCAGTGAAACACCAAATTAAAAAATTCTCTCAAAAATCTCATTTACCTTTACAAGTATACTGTATAGGTCGTCAGCCTCGTCTTCTCCAAGATCGTCCGGATCTATTTCCATTACCTTCTCCCAATCTACTGGTGCCATGGTGACAGTTTCCGCAGCAACCCTATATCAGCTGAGAAATATAGTATTACATGTACAATGTACTGCATAAATCAACAACAGATTTATTCGTAAGTTTATCTCTAAATGGGAATACATGTATCATGTCAGCATGTGAAGTCTACATGTAGGTCTAGAATGCATGCAGTATTTTGGTGGGTACCCCCTGAATGTATTGAATGATTTTCTCTTAGAAATGATCAGTGATACAATGTATGTACATACATGTACACAGCAACACTGATTCCAGTATTGGGTTACATACATGTAAGATACTCATACACAAACTAGCAACAACACTCACAACAGAAACACTGTCCATAGACTAATAGGGAATCAGTGTGTATGTGAACAAGACAGCACGATTACCCACGGACTCACAAGAAGTGTGGGGAATAATTTATGGAAATTCAATATTGAAATGAATCCGACAGTGTTACATGCAGACATTACATACTGGTGCATGAAATTGAACACCTGTTTCGTGTGTACAATTTTGATAATACGAAATAAGATATATCATCTAGCAGACTTATTTTAAATTTTTCCAAGTACCGGTACAAGATCATTTTGGATTATTCCATACATTCTGTGAATTCATGAAAAATAAATCAATATGTTAAGTGTGTCAAAATAATTCATCCCAGTGTTGGAGTTATTTATAATTATTCCAGAATATGTAAAATGAGTTTGATAAACAAATATAGAACCACAGCAGTGTGAATTGAAAACAATTTTATGTTGACGTACAGCACAAATAATGAAACAAGCTTTACGTATGATGTAAATATTTATCTTCTTTTGGGGATAACTTATTTTTTTTTGGCTTGCGCCATGTCTACTTTTTGTGTGTGAACGCATCTCAATATCTATTATCCACGATGTGTTAGACATCAATGTCATTTAGCAAGAGTGTTGAAACGGCAAACAAAAATTATGTATTTACATGAATCCTAACAATATATGGAAATTAGTAGTTCTTTATGTGTCTAGTGTCGTGCATTAAATTTTCGAGTGATTTATTGCATTTGTTTCACGTTTTCGACCATGGCTGACTTCGACAGAATGACCGTGCCACAGCTCAAAGACTTCTTGCAATCACTAAAGCTGTGCACGATTTGTAGCTCGAGGAAGACCCTGATTTTTTACGAGATGATCCTAAAAAAATTCGTCGCTTCAAGACTTAGCAAACTTGGTTGCAATTTCATCGATCCTTTGAAATTACCAGGCTACTCTAGTGATTTCAGAAAAGTTCCAGAATTCGACCGGACCGGAAGAAGCTCAGGGCCTCAAATCGTGTGAAGATTTCAAGTTGTTTGGCGACGGACATGTTCAAATGTAACATCTGTATGTGTACTAGCATCACATGTCAAAGGCACATACTTCACATTACTGCTACTTTCACCATTACTAGCGTGAACAGCTTTTGAAGTTCCTAACATATCGGAAAACGGCCAACATTGCATGCTTCACACATTAGTTCATATGGTTAGCAACAATCTGTAGACACTGCATGATATACACACAAGCATCAATACAAATAACAGGAAACTGTCAATATTGTAAACAACAAGCATGCTTTAAAAATACATAGCTTGAAAATTTATAACTTTTCGACATAGAAGGGAAGTTGAATAAAACTATTATTAAAACCCGATAGTATGAGTATTAAATTGTACAAGTATTAAATATTACAATTTAATTCTGCACTTAGTAATATAATTAGTTCACATTCAGGCTTAGCTCTTTGTCAGGAGAGGTATTCCCTAACTCTGTGGCAATATTAACTAGTATTGTTATCATTAAATGCATAGATATTCGCATTGAAATCCTTTTCAAATTCTGAGGTAACAGCATTGTCAGGAACCTAGTTTTCGTCGGGATACTAATGATAAGACAATTTAAGATGTACACTTGTGAGTTGTAAATAACAATAAAATGGTCAATCCCATGATAACCACATTTTATTCGGGATCGCAATAAAATACACGATCATAAAATTTAAAAAAATAAATATTAAGGGCATGAAAACAAGCACGGTAAAGTTCCGATCAGTACAACTTGCAAAAGAAAGTTAAACC